CTTCACATTCAACGTCATCATGCAAGCTTTTAAGTTGGATCTCCACTTCTTTGGGTAGTGTAAGTTTCAAATTTGCTCTGTCCAAAATTTGCATCGTGGGCATTAAATTAGTGTGGCTGATAAAGGTCACGTCATGAGATATATTTGCCGATTTTGATGCTTTGACAATGCCACATTTTAAAATTTGTCGTACAGCATACTCCGCTGCTCTCGCATCAGTTGCGTCATTACAGCCTCCTTTTAATCGTACATGAGAAAACATTCCCTCAAGAGCATCACTGCTGAATGATCTTGTAAGTACATAATAAAATCCAACCTGGTCTAAAAGAAATTTAATTGACAAATATGTACTTTGGGCTGTGAATTTTATAGCATGAGCGGTTTCCTTTGATAGCCCCTTTAAGCAAGCCTCAGAAGAACACTTTTGGATGTCATCAATGTATTCAGGGAGAACATTATTTAGCCAATGTAAACGCTGATCTGATATGTGAGTATAAGGGGCAACAGAACTATCTAGTGCGCAGATATAGTGTGTTTTATTTGAGACATTATGTATTTGGAAAAAGTAATACATATTCTCCATGAATTTTACCGTGTTCCCTACAAGAGAAAACTCRTCATTTCCATTTTCTTGTAAAAATTTCAACGATGTKGTCACTGCTGGCGAAAAGATCTGAATTGCCCTTAACACATTCATTTTCTCGAAATTTGAAGGAAATAAATGTTTTTTTGATAAATATCTTACTGGTTTTATTGGCATTTCTTTCTGAAGTTCGTATAAGGTTCGTAAATACGACGATGAARTCGTACCTTCTGAAGTGCACATATCACCAGCCAAAAACCAATTTCTAACATTTTTTAAAACGTGACAAAAATCGAAACTTAAAAAAATTGGCATATTTTCTAAAAATGGATGGTCAATTTGGTGTTTCATTAATCCTCCACCGAGGATTTTAAAAAGTGCTACATTTGAAGATGCATTATCTGTAACGATCCTTAAAACTATAAACCCACAATGAGTTAATAGTTTCAATRCGTCTAACGTTAATTTATGAAAATTTGCTGTTGTTAACATTTCATGGAAAAAATATCCTGCAGGAATAGTGTACTTTGTAGACAATCCGTGTATTACGAAACATAACATTTTATTGGCTATTTTCGGTTTTTCGCTAATAACGTTTGATCGCGAAGTATCGAGTCCAAATACAGTATCTTCACTTCGACTGTAGGATACTTTTGGTTGAATCGACATGTCATCGATGATCAATGAACAGATTCTTTCAATTGGTTTAAGATTTGAAATTTCAGCACATAAACGTTGTTGTATCAACTCGTTTTTACTATGACATTTTCCCAGGTACCTATTTATTGACGAGTAAGATGGTATTCTAATTACGTTATTGTGGCAAAAATTGTATCCCTTTGGTGACGAATACCTCCAAATAGTACACAACCTTACTGATGTCTCCGACCATCTTGGCTTCCTGCTGCCGTAGTTATTTATAATATCGATAAGAAAAACCGCTTTTTCATCTAATTGCTCCGCGTCCCCTACAATTTTGTTTACAGCAGATAAAACCTTAGCATTTTTCTTTTTCTCTTCATCTATTTTTTTAATTTTTTCATTTGCCCGTTCTAATTTTCTAGTTAAAATTTTAATTTGCCTTTGCATATTCGTAACTTGTTCACACGAAATTWAATTTACTTGCGAGGATTGTGATATTTTTGATTCGTAGTGTAAAGGGAAACAATTTAGAGAAGCTTCTTGGTCAGTACCACCGAGATTAACAGGATTCTTAAAATTGCAAAAGTGTTAAGGAAGGATAATATGAAACAGGACAATTATCTTACAGGTAAGGACAGGAAAGGCACAGCATCTTTGCTTAATTTATGAGAACGTCCTGTACTTGAGCTACAAATATATTTGTTCTCAAAATGTTCGCAACAAATTACCGTGTAATCTGAAATTAGTTTTGTATCTGRAACCATCARAATAATGTCAGTATAAAAGATAAACATTTACTAAGAGCGTTTACGGAGATAGAATAAATAACTAACCATATTTTTCTTTTAATATGTCAATCCATTGTCGACGCATTTTGAAATTACTGGGAATTTGAAACAATGGTCCATTTCGATTTCCACAAATGAAACACTTTTTGCCCATTATAATTTTTAAGATGCAGCAAAAATGTCGAATGTCGATGAAAAATTGAAAAATGAATCCTTTTAACTGTCAAACATGACAAGATGAGACCTAATCTCTAAATCTTATTTTTATTTTAATCTACTGATGTCGCTAGTAGAGGAACGTTTCATGGATTGCTTTCTAGGCCCGCAAATTTGATGCTTATGGAAAGGCCGTATACGCTAGTATGAATGGAGTCGGCGATGCA